ACTCATCAACTCCACCAAGGAATTGGCTGATCCCAAAAACTCCTTCAAAAGGTATTGGCTCCCCTAGACAAGATGCAGGCGGATGACGTGCTCGACAAGACCACGATGGATTGAGACTCCTTCGCCACTCAGAGAGGCGGTAGAATGTGGCATTTTGCACTTCACCCCCTGCCACTGACTTTGCACCCTGATCCAGAGTTTCATAACTAACTGACACCCATCAGATACGAAGACACAGTCGTCATCTTCGGCGAGTAAGCCAACCTCCCTCCATCCAGCTCATCCATCATCCTAACGCGCCAGGTTTTCTATCAATCCTCCAACCTCGACACGCGCCCTCAAAGCCATTGCCCGCATGAACTATCTCCATGCCCCCTACAAGGCCGCCTCGAAAATTTCCAACGAGGACTTTCTCTACACTCTTTCCACCTGCGTCACAGAGCCCATTCGCTTCATGCGGCTCTATGAATGGAGGGCCCTCACCGACGCCGAGGTCTGCGCTTTAGGCACATTTTGGAAAGCCATTGGCGACGCCATGGACATTCGCTACGACGGCTATCTTGATCGTGCCGGCGCCTGGCGCGACGGTATCGACTTTGCCGAGGATATCACCGCCTGGGCCAAAACGTATGAGCTTCAGGCCATGAAACCCTCTCGCTCCAACATTAAGCCAAGCCGTGAGCTTGCTCGTCTCATGATCTGGCACGTACCTGGGTTTGTGAAACCGTTCGCTGTTCACGTCCTTACTGTCCTTATGGGCGACCGCGTCCGCGACGCCTTCATGTAAGCATCTTCACTTGCAACGCGATGGACTCCTTTCCTCTCTTTCATGTGTTTCCCTTCTTCTGACACGAGCCGACAAAAAAGGTATCCCGAGCCGCCCATCTCAGCAGCCCTCTTCGCCTACCTCGCGCTTGCCGTCCGCCGCCTTGTCGTCCGCCACCTCTGCCTCCCCCGCCTATTCCCGAAACGGTACTTCTCAAAAGAGGACCCTGCCACGGGCCGCGTGAATCACTACACTTACCTCGTCCACCCCTACTACATCCCCGCCACCCTCTGGACACGCTTCGGCCCCATGAGTTGGCTGACACGCGCGGTCGGTGGCTTCCCGCCTGGTGACGTCGACATGCTGCCGCAGGGCTATCTATTCGAGGAAGTCGGACCCGCCAGCGAGGTTGGGGAGGGCGTCGAGGAGATGGCAGATGGCGTCGAGGCGCTTCGAGCGAGGAAAAGGGGCCGGTGCCCCTTTTCGTGAGTGTGAGCGAGGCCTGCGTTGTGGGGCCGGCCGGCCGGGAAGCACGGAGTTGCATCGGTCTCTCCGTTGACTCGTTACGAATATGGCTGCTCATGTGACTGAGAGACTGTAAAAGATGGAGGCCAGCAGATGAGACGACACTGGGTCATGACATGTAAACTAGCAATCGCACAGACCACCACACTCATCGTGGGGAACACCGTACGACGTTGCAGGACCTACGCAGCCTCATGGATGACACGCAATGGCAATGCAACATTCATGACATTCATTACTCATTATCACGCTCGGACTAGCAACCGACTCATCCTACGAGCTGGCAATGCCTAGCCCCACCCGCGACTGCGGCCCGTACTGGCTGACGCTGCCCGTCCCGGTGCCGGTCCTTTCACGCATCCGCCTACCCTCCATCAGCCCCCGGAGACCGCGCTTCTGCAGCCCAATGACGGAGCTGAGCTCGCCGCTCCAAATCTCCCTGACACCCCCGCCTTCTGACTCGCCAATCTCCGAGCTCCACTCAGAGCCGCTCTGGCTCGTTGTCGCGCTGAGCTCGCCGCTGCCGGGTCTGCTGGACTGTTGCTGCACAGTCGTGTTGAGGCGAAGGGCGGCGTTGTGCGCTTCGCTGTTGTTGTCGCTGTCGCGAGAGGCCTCTGATGCGGGTGCCGACTCGAGCGAGGCAATGAGGTCAACGGGTGGCACGAAGAAGTTGGGGTTCAGCGACCCATCGATGCCCCGGCCGCCACCGGCAGCCATGGCCGTGGCATTGAAGACGGCCGCGGCGTTCCGCGAATCCAGAAGCACGTGGAGACGTTCAACCACGGCTTCCAGCAGCCCGTCTATGCGGTAGGGCCGAGCAATCTGGAGCAGCGAGCAAAGGATCGGGGGCGTGCATAGCGGCGATGACGGGGCAGGCAACGACGAGGTGTACACAAAGTGGAGCAGTGCCTGAACCGTTAGGTAGGTGTGAGGAAGGTATAGGCACCTTGGGCGTGACCTCGGCGGCAGACTGATGGGTGTGGGGGCTGCGTTGGGATTGTTGGCGTCGAGGCCGGTTTGGGGTAAAAACGCACCTCCGGCGATGCTCGACGGTGCTGTGCTTGGCTGCTTGCCAGAGGAGCCGAATGACGAGGCAATGGTGCTACCCATGGATGTGATGCTTTCTACCCGGTCCCTCGACGGCGTAATGGTCACGCCAGAGTTCCTCACTGTGTTAGAAAGGCCACCTCGGAGGGTCATGGCATCGCTGCCGTCCTGTGTCGCGGCACCTTCACGTAGCAACTGAACGAAGTAGGGGCCCCATCGCCTGGCCACAATCCGCGAATTCACAGGTATCCTCTCGCCGTGCAAGCACAGAATATCCATGTCTGAAAGCTCTCGTAGCGCCAAAGCCTTTTCACCCAGCTCTTCGGACGCTCTGGAATGGAATCGCCCGCCCGCGGTGCAGCCAGCCTTTCTGGCCAAGCTGAGGTCAGGACCGGTAAAGGGGCTGCTGGACGACACGAATCCAGACAGTGGCGCTGTCTTCCTCGGGTTGTCGTAGAACCCGAATGCTTCGAGCTCCACCATGCAAACGTTGGAGAAGTTGATACGGCGATGGTTGTAGTCGTCAACAAGGCTTCGCTTTCGGTTGCCCAATATAACAAAGGTGTTTCGGCGATTCCAAAGCACACCGCGGTTCCAACTGCCTTGGCTGAACACACTGCCCCCCCGCGTCAATTCGAGACCACGTCAATGTTCGCAAGTCGAGTGCCCACAGCGCATATTCTTGCTTTGAGGAGGTCAGGTACGTGCCGCTGACCACAAAGTGCGTGTCAATGACGCCGCCATTGGGGAAACGCAAGCCCGGCGGCGAATACGCGCCAGACATTGGCTTTTCGGAAAGAGAGCCATCGGATGATCGAATCTGGAGCTCTAGCTTGACGTCCAAGAAGTTGTAGTTGGAGTAGATGAGCATTGATGAGCCAGGCTCTCGGGCTTCTTGGCTGATGCCGCCCTCGCGTTGTGAGCCGTTGACACCCGCTTTGCCTATCTTAGACGTGACGGACGGCGGAAGAGGCGCAACAACGCTCCTGTAGGCGCCGCAGCTCTTGCCGAGAGACTGGGTTGATGTCCATTTCAAGCTCCGCAGGTTGAAAACGCTGATCTGCTCGATATAGTGATTAGCACCGTCTTGTCCGCCGACAATAATCATCTCGGCGCCGCCAGACCCATCGATGTTGATCCCTATCCTGCCCTCGTTAGGATTCGCCGAGGGAGGGTTGTGTTGAAGTGCGGACAGCGGGGCCTTGTGAGACGAAAAGGACGCCGACGACGGCAGGATGCAGGCGCAGTGCGCATAGCGACCTTGAGGGGGATCCTGCGTGGGGATGTACGTCCACTTGCGGCTGGGTACATCGTAGATATAAATGTCCGACATGACAGTCACCTCGGGCTGCTGATCTTGCGCTGCGCCAGCCTGATTCGTGTCGGTGACATGCCTCCGTAACACACCATCTTCGTATCGCCGAGTGGGCACATGGAGTGAAAGTATCGTGGCGGCGGGATGTCGCCTGTGGTCTCGAGCCTCGTCCAGTGTCTTCGAATGAGGTCCAGTTCATACAGGTCGGCCGTCAAGGGGGCAGGCCGGCTTCTAGACAAGATCCTTCCACCAAACACGTAGAGCTTGTCGCCGAGTATGGTGGTCGTCGCGCCAACCAATGGATGAGGTTCCTTCCCCGTAGTCCTGTGAACGTTGCACATCAAACCCGACAGGTGGGCAGACGAGGAAGAGGCAGAGGTGGCAACGGCGGGACCCCTGGTCTGGGCGACTGAAGGCGAAGGACCGGCGGATGCAGGACCGGTGCTTTTTGGCGTCAGATTGTCTCTCCTTTCCTCTCGCGCGTCCTGCCGCGAGGAACTCGCCAAGCTTGTCTGACTGGCGGACATGTCTGTGTTGTAACCGCCTTGCGCACCAACGTAGGCCTGGGCCTGGTCGACAGACACGTTCGAGTCCATTGTGCTTGTCCGACTGTCCGCCATGACGGGCAGGTCCTCCGGTATGGCGTCCAGGTTGTTCGCGATGCTAGAGGCAGCTGCTGGGGCTGGAAAACTGTCCGCTTCGGACTGCTCTGGGGGCGGTTCTGGGAGAGGCTTGGCAAGACTGCTTTGTAGGCTCAGACTCCTCGCATGCTGCACAATGGGCGGCGGGGGCGGAGATCGTGCGTCCGTGGTAGGCGAGGGGGAGGACGCGGAGCTAGTAGGCGTGGTGCTTCGCAGGCCGAGCAAGGACGGTTGCCGGCGTAGGCTGTCGTCTCGACTGGGCGCAAATTTCTTGAAGCCGCGGTAGACGCCAGAGAGCAACTCCGAAGGAGACTTGGCCGGGGCAGGAGGGCGATCTCGTTCTTGATCGGTGTCCGAGTCGAGGGCTTTCGATTGGTCGGCCTGTGCAGGGGAGAACTGGTTCGGGGTCAGTCCGGGGCTAGACATTTTGTGGTCGTGGTAGCAGCCCCATGGGGACAGCAAGCACTGGACAAAAGAGTGGCCAGGAAGAAGAGTCGGAAGGATCGAGAGCAAGAGACGGCGCTGTGTAGCAGTGGCGAGGCCAAGAAAAGAACAAGAGCCCTCTCAGTCACAATCGGGTGGCTGTCAGATGTTTACAAAAGGAGTTGAGGTCGGGAGCGGGGGCGGGAGCGGGCGGGATGAGGAGGAGGAGGTGGCTTTGGAAGTCGAGGCCATTCGGCAGTGGCCGAGGAGGTCAAGATCGGCCGCCGGGCAGAAGATAGGTCATGAGGGGGGGAAGGAGGAGGATAGGGCAGAGAGAAGAGGTGAGACGAGGACAACGACAACGTGGGGAGGACGAGAAGAGGAGACACGAAGCGGGACGAGAAGAGAATAGAGATATGGAAACCACCCAGGGTCGGGTCAAGTTCGCTTCATGGGGAGAGAGAGTGGAGAGAGTGGTGAGGCAGCTGGAAGCGAGGTGTATGGTTGTGCCTACGCCTGTGCCTGTACCTGTGCTTGTGCCTGTCCTTGTCCTTGTTACGGCGCTGGGGCCCAGGGGTTGAGCAAGCCACCCCTTCTTCCCGCAGCTTGGGCCTTTCCTCGTGGCCTGAGAAGTGTGCGTGCGTGTGTGCTCTGGGCATGGGGCAGGGCGACGGGGCCTTGGGACTTGGGGTTTGACAGGACAGGACAGGGCAGGCAAGGACAGCAGAGACGAGGAACAGGATGGGCCAGGACGCAAGAACGCAAGGGCGCAAGACAGGGCTCGGGGGACGGGGAGAGACAAGCAGGGCCCGGCCGGGAGCCGCAGGTAGATTGACAAAGAAGATGATGTGGGTTCGCCCAGGTGGAGGAGAAGGTTCAGGATCAGGGACCCGGCGAGACGAGGAAGCTCCAAAGAAGGACAGCTAGAAGGACGGGGAGGCGTCCGATAGACCAAACGACGTACCTGACAAGTCTGACTGGCTACAAGGATGAGGTTGAGGTTGAGAGCGAGAGGGGCTCAAGGGTCGCGCGAGGCGCACGGCGGGTCGCGATGGACACGACGGGATGCGAGATGCGAGCGAGGTAAGGTTCGCTCGGGCGAGGTGACGACGTTATGGTTTTTTTTGGAAGGGGGGGGGGATGCGTCGCGTGTCGAAGAGGGATCATCGGCCTGAACTAGGTAAGCACAGGTGGAAGTAAAATGTTGTACAGGCACCCAGATGAGGGAGACCCCCCGAAAACCCCAGGTCAGGTCCGGCCAGGTCGCCGTAACGACAAGGTAGGGTGCGGTGAGTGAGGATGAGTAAGATGCGGACAGGCGGGGGGGGGGGCGAGCGGCCAGGTGGTAAGGTAAGGCAAGGCAGGTAGATAGGTAGTCAAGAGGGTGGGAGACACAGAGAGAAAGAGCAAGGTAGGTACCTGAGAAGCGTCAGGAGCACCAGCGTTGCAGGCCCTAAGAAGTTTCGAGCTAGATTGTCCGAGGCGCAAGGCACGAAGCGGTCGATCTGTCGATGTTGAGAATGGGGGGGAAGGGGGGGAGTGTGGAAGGATGATGGGAAGTGCCTGGTGTTCGATTCATTCCCAGTAAAGCACATGGGCCGCGCACAGACTGTCCGGCGGTCAAATGTGTTTGAAAGAAGCGACGTTGTCCGTTGTCCGGGAAGCTTCACCCCACCTTGCTTTGCAGTCAGGAGCTAGCGAGCAGCTCCTTATGTGTGTCCGTCCGTCTATCCACCTGCCTCGCCTTACGGTGCCTCCTGGCTTCCTACCGTACATGTACAGTACCGCACTCCCCTCTCTACTTGGCTCTCTCTCGGTTTGCATCCACCCTGTCAGGTACGCCTGCCAGGGCTGCGCGAGGGCAACTTTCTTAGGTTAAAGGTTGAGCGAGCGCACGGAGGCGCGAATGAGAAAGTCGAACGAGCAAAACGGGGAAAGAAGAGGGGCCAGTATTCATCCAATCCAATAGGGCAGGCATAGTAGGAGCCCGAGACGAGGGGTACCCGCACGTTTGGGGACCACTCACAGCGAGGAACACACCCCCAGAAGCGACGGTGGCTTGGTGGCTCGGGCGGCGCCTGAACACGAGAACCCCTGACAGCTCCTGATCTATTGCCTCTGTGCCTTTGTTCGATGACTTCTGGCCTGTTTCTGCGTGGCGCGCCCATGCTGTTCATCGCCAATGGCATCGTTTTCGGTGGGGTGCATAGTATTGTCATTCCCAACCGTCCGGTGTTGTCCTGCACTTCCTGGAGAGAACCGTTCGCCCGTTCCCCCGTCTAACCAAGCTGCCTTCCGCATACATGTACGGTACCTCCCATGAGAGAAGCACGTAGTATGGAGGTGAAGTGGAAAGGTGCTGCACTCGCAGATAGGTATTCGAACAATATACCTAGGTCTACCATGTACATTCCATGTAGTAAAGTATACCTTGTCCCACCTAGGTACACACCTTACACAGGTGCCTTTGAGATCAAGGTACCTTGCAAACCATCAACGATCGAGTCAGCAACAGGGACCACCGGGTCCAGCTTGTGGAAACTTCATTGACACCAACCGAATGAACATTGAGCCATCCAGCCAGCCATTCAGCCAGCCAGCCAGCCAGCCAGCCAGCCAGCCAGCCAGCCAGCCATCCACCGTGTTTTGGGCATTGGGCTGGGCTGGCGCTCTTGCGACCAACGACACACTCATCCAAGCAGACACCTGGCCGATCTGATCGATGCTGGCCCACCTCCTCATATGAGTGGACATGTGGACTTCCTCATCCGAGATTTGTATGCAGGCGAAGCGCCCGTCACTGGGTGGTCGTCACACGCATCCCGTGCTGCTAGGGGTCGGACATGGACGGTAGAACATGGATCGTACAGATGAAAGGGAAAGGGGCCCAGCCAGGTACGGCATCTGGCATATCTCGATCAACCGAATCGGCTTGTTGCGGTAGAAAAAGACGCACCTCACCCTTCGCGCAATGCACACCGAACCCAACATCAGACGGACCCTTCATTTCGCCCCCATCCCATTTTATTTCGGGTCCACCCCCCCTGGCTATTTTTCGCTGCCCACATGGTGTTTCGTTTCAACCCGTCTTCCTCCTTCTAGCGGCCCCTTCTTCCCCTTTTTTTTGCCTCGCCTATTCTGTCATTTGTCAATTATCGCTTGTCACACGTCCATGGCTGCGCTTTCGCGCGTAACTGTTCCGTCATCCTTTTGTACTCACCTACATGATATATGGGCTCTTGGCAGCTGCTGTTGCCCTCGCAATTGTAGATGCCCCGTCCCACATCGATTTCTGAATGACAACTGTATTGCTCGCTGACTACGCAATCCTGCTGATCCACGGCCGCCTGGCCCAGTAACCCGTCACGAAAGACAGGGGCACACGTGGATTGGAGGCAAACGGACGGCCGGCGTAGACGCAGGGGGCTGGAGTCAGTCAGCCACGGTGACAGGGTCAAGATACCGCTCCTCGTCTCGTACCCGCGGCATGCACACCGCATGCCGCTGGGCGAGGGAACACTACTTCGTACACCGGACGCGCCAGGCACCTGCGCAGGAGGAGAACCGACCTGTAGACAGGGTTTGGGGAGGGTTTTCCTACAACTTGGACGAACATGGGCGGGAAACAAACCTCACGGCCCTTGGACCCCTGGCCCCTGACAAGTCTTGGCCTGGCATGCGGGAGCATCGCGAGCGAAAATCTGCCACATTCAAAATTCGGTACGGAGCCGTAGCCCGGCCGTGCCCTGGGCAACGGTATGCGGAGATACCCTCTCGGATGAGCACCCCCTTCTGCTTCTCTGTTCCACCTCCGCCTCACTTTCTCCCCGACTTGGAGCGGGCGATCCCTCTCTTCACTGTTCATCAGTCGTGACTCGCTTTTCTTGCGTGGTGATGCGGGCAAGTATCGTTGTAATCGGGCCGGTCCTTGCCCCCTGACTGTCCCGCCCGTCCGTCCGTGGATTTGTGAGGCGCGGCACCTCGACGGCCGGGGAAGCCAAGCCGAATGTAACTCGGCGACGTGCGATGGGCTCAGCTGGAGCACCGTACTGAACTTTTGTGTTTCTGTCCAACCCGCCCGCCGGACCTGGATTTGGTACGTCACGACATTGGCGGGGTTCTCATTCAACGAGGGTCGCAGGGCGTTACTTGAGTTTGGAGTTTTTTTGATAGTTTTCGTCACGTCACATTACGGTGCGAACAGCCACGGAGGTTCATCGCTTTTCAATTCTCTTGGAGGGAGGCGGCAAGTTACGTCGCACATCCAATCTCATCGGGGGATATATAATAGGACGTTAGAAAATATGCAACACAACATGCCATTGCTCCCTGCCCGGCGCATCCGTCGCCCGTCTGGTGCGGCGCTCGCTCCGTCACGGCCTAGTTCCTTTGTTTCCGTTTCCATCACGGCGGCCCGACGAAGCGCCCCCAGACGGCAGCCCACTCGTGGTCAGTTACGCGACGGTCGCCTTCTCCTTGGGCAAAGGGGTGAAACGCAGGTAGGGCTTGACGATGCGGAACTCGGGGAACAGCTCCTTGGCCTGCTCGTTCTTGACGGCGGGGTGGACAATGACGTCGTCACCGGGGACCCAGTTGATGGGGGTGGTGATCTTGTGCTTGTCGCCGGTCTGCAGCGAGTCGACGATGCGGAGGACCTCGGCCGAGTTGCGGCCGGTGGAGGCGGGGTAGGAGAGGATGGTGCGAATGGTCTTCTTGGGGTCGATGATGAAGACGGAGCGGATGGTGAAGGCGGTGCCCTTCTCGTCGACGTTGGTGGCGTCCTGGTGGTCGATCATGTCGTAGGCGAGGGCGACCTTGCGCTCCTTGTCGGCGATGATGGGGAACTTGACGGACGAGCCCGTCACCTCGTCAATGTCCTTGATCCAGCCCTCGTGGCTGCCGAGCGTGTCAGCCGAGAGGCCGATCAGCTTGACGCCGCGCTTGGTGAAGTCGGGCTCGAGCTTGGCGAAGGCGCCGAGCTCGGTCGTGCACACGGGGGTGTAGTCCTCGGGGTGCGAGAAGAAGACGACCCAGTTGTCGCCGACAAACTCGTGGAAGTCGATCGGGCCGTTGGTCGTCTCGGCCTGGAAGTTGGGCGCGACGCTGCCGAGGCGAAGACTGCCGCAGAAACGTTAGCTGCATGGCTGCGGGCGAGGCCAGCGCCATCCCTTCCCAGAAAACGAATGTCTTGTGGAAAGGAAAGCGTGAGCATCAACGGGGGGCGGGGGCATGGGAGCGGAACGTACGGAGCAGGGCGGGAGTCAGCCATTGTGATGGATGTGTGAGTGTGATGTGGTTTTGGGTGTAGAGGGAGGGGTATACGAGAGAGGCAAAAGACTGGAAGGAAAAGCAGTCAGACGTGAGGGGGGGGGACGGTTGCGCAATTAAATAACCCAAAAACATCCATTGAGGACAGCCACATCAGCCTTCACAGCGTCCCGTTCGCGTGCTTTCTGGCCTGACACGGCATCCGTCCCTAGCGCCGTCGTCCCTGTGCTTGTGCCTGTGCCTGTCAGGCCAGCTCAGGCCGGTCCTTGGCCTTGAGGTGAGGCAGGTCATTGACCTACTAGGCAAGAGGCCCAGGCGTGAGATTAGAAATTGTTATCCAGTGAAACGGTCCCCTTGTGTTCTCGTCGTCACATCACCCGCGGGAGTCCTTGTGTTGGCGGATGCGCCTGCCCTCCCTCCCTCCACCCTCCTGCTGCCCCTCATTTTGCCCCTCCATGATATCAGTCGAACCCTCCGGGTCGTTCTTGCCCGCACGCGAGCCTGGCACTGTCATCTTCAAGCTGCGCCCTTCCAGTTCTGGGACGCCTTTCTTTCAGATAGTCTTCAGCTTCACCATTTGTTACTTGCTCGGCCGCCTCACCACGATGTGCCCATTCATCCAACTCGTCCATTGCCTTCGTCTTGGATCACGCATCAAGCAGAATGCCCCGCGTCTCAAGCTCGCCTGCCCCTCCACTGGCGTGCCACCCCCATGAGGCATGGCGCCCGATTGCGTGCTGCGGACGTCTTGCCATTGGTCACACCTCCACGTCCCCGCCCCATTATGTCATCGAGAAGCTCCAGCACATCATCGACGCTTGTGCTTGGCTTTTGACGCCTCTTTGGGGGTTCCCGAGAGAGTTTTGGGGGGCCGTTACATGCGTGCGATATCGCAGCCAGTCGACGACAATGCTCGTTCGGGGCCCTGGATTGCCGCCCTGGGTCGAGGAGTCGAGCCTGAGAGGTTCTCTGTGCTACCACAACCCATGGCTCGGGTCTAATCGGGTTAGCTAACTAGGTACTTCGTATCACTGCTAGAAAAATAGACGACTTTATGCACCACGTGCAGGACCGCACCTCGATTCGGCCATCCACTACCAACTTGGGAACGGTTCTGATCTCGCAGCCCATGGCCCGAATACCAGACTCACCACTGCGGTTCGCTGTCAAATACGACAAATCAGCTTCTGATACTCAGGTGCCTGATTCAAGAACTGCATAATCTCGATAATGCACCGATCGACCGCCAACGTTCTACAGAACCAGACAGTACCTTCGCTAACCATCTCAGACGACCAGGGACATATCCCCACAGAAAGCAGCATCTTTTCTTCACATTTTCGACGTCCAGGAGATCGAGGCCCTACCAGTCAACCCCTAGGCTTGCTCTCGTGCATCCGATGGTGCATCGTCATCTCCTAGCTAAGCCTTACCCGTGTTGAGAGGGCTCATCGCATCGAATTCGTGACTTGTGATGAGCGCGGGATACGTCACGCCGCCCTGGTACAATGCGTCGTCCATGACCTCCATGATGGCAATGCTCTCATGCAGTGGTATAATGGAACTCTCTTTTTTGCCGTCGCGAATGCATCTCGCGGCCTCGTCCGCCTCCCAGAAGAATCCGTGGCCCCAGCCCTCGCGGTCGTCGTCCTTGGGAAGGGGGCACTCTATCAGTTCTGATCCTTCCCGGGCTCTATTCCTGAGGACTCGGTAGCCGGTCGGACAGTAAGCAGGATGCGCCACGGCAATCTCACCCTTGGAGCCCTGTATGCGAACGGATGTGGTCTTGCCAGTTTCGGAGGGGTCGCTGGCGCTACGGAGGCTCGTGGTGGCGATGCCGATCGTCTTGTGTTTTGGGAAACGGCAAACGACAACGGTGCTTTCATCAGTGCCGGTAAAGTACTTGTTCATCGTGGAAATAGTATCGGGCTTCTCCTTTTCAGCCTCTGGCTGGAGATGATAGAGAACTTGGAAGACCCAGGTAAGGGCGTAAGTGCCAAAGTTGAGCAGCGCACCCCCGGCTAGTCCCAGATTTACCTTGCGATGAGCGTCTGGGAATATGAGTTTTCCTTCCTCTTCGGCTGAGTAGTTGAATGAGACGTCGGCAAAAACACGCTCAACGACGCCGATCTCGCCCGAGGCGATAAGCTCCCGCACTTTGACACTAACAGGTTGGAAGCGCGTCCAGACGGCCTCCATCAGAAAGACATTCTTCTCGCGGGCGGCTTGGACAAGGCGGCGAGTCTGCTCGGCGGTCACGGTCAAGGCCTTTTCGCAGAGTACATTCTTATGTGCCTGGATGGCGAGCATGGCGTTTTGGAAGTGGTGTGAGTGCGGCGTCGCTACGTAGACAATGTCGACGTTTGGGTCAGCGACTAGCTCGGCGTACGAGCCATAGGTCTTAGTTTCATGAGGGGGACATTTGATCTTCGCGAGAAAAGCTTCCGCCTTTTTGCTGTCACGCGACGAGGACACGGCTACAATTTTGTGTTCGACGTCGGAGACGCCGCGGCTTGCGGGGCTAGTCTGGAGGTCCTTGGCGAAAGCTAAATCTATCAGTTGTTGCCACGATCGAGGCGAATATGCCTTAGAAAAGCAGGAGTTGTGTTCTTGACGACGAACCTTCGGCAACGAGACCAGTGGCGACTATGCCCCAACGAAGAGTGAAGGGGGCCATGGCTTTGATGAGGAGATGAGCACTCGCGTCTTGATCCGATGCTTAAACGACGATATGTCTCGTGTTTGTGTTGGCGTGTAGTCGTGGTATCGGAGGAAGTCCTGCGCCATTTACCTTCGCGAGTGCCGCTAATACAGAGAGCTCTTTCGCGGCAACAGGGACGGACCCGGATCCGAGAAACCATGGTGCAATGCACTCTGAGATCCCGATGGCGCTAGCTGCAGATCTACTCCTGTTGCTGTTTACAGCGGCTGGCGCCTTGCGTAGTTGAGCTTTGGGCGTCAAATTCTAAACCAAGCCGCATAACGACTTTTTAATCACCGAGCACTTTCTACTCAAAAGCCTTGACTCTTTTTTTCATACTCTTGTGTAACATTCGTTGTCTTTTATTGACATCCTACTTGACATTCCGTTACCGTGGAAGTGGACCCGACACTCGCTCTCGTACGAGTCGATTTGAAACCAACTTGATCAAGCCCCAAATGAGCTAAACCAAGCGAAAGGAGCCTTACCCGTCCAGCCCACACACGGGACCAAGCCTAGGAATATTTAGGTTCTTATCTGTAAAGAAGAGTATAGTACCAATTGAACTTGGTGGGAAGGCCAATTGAAAATCAGAGTCCGTGTTGACTTTCAAAGAGAGTCATTGATGAAGAGGAAGACGCAGTTACCAAAGCATCTGAAAGTTGAAACCCGAAGATCCTGGAGATCCATGTTTATCACATCCCATTGTATCTGAAGGATGGACTCTGTAATACACTCCCCACACATAGTATACCGGTTGTTAGGTATTGAGTAAAGGCAATTTCAAGAAGCCTTCTAGTACATTCTGGCAAATCGTGAGCATAAAACGACGACCAGCCCGTACCATTCTGCTCATAGCCTTTATGAATCAACATATACTAAAAGAGATAAAGGGTATTTCATAAGGCTTCTACGGAGCTAGCTATAGTACCACGGGCCCCAGAAGGCTTGTTCGGGAGCTCGAGGTTAGCGAGCGTGTATGCAAGGGTTGCGGAGGGCCCAAATTCAGACATTTCTATCCCATACTTAATGCTTGACTGGGATCATCGCCTGCAGCACTCTGCTATTCAAACCCTCTGACACAATCACATCCAGACTGTCCCATGTTGTCCGTGAATGAAAGCATCGCAGTACTCAAATACACCATCAACCCAAAGCTAGGATGGATTCGCGTGTCTTGGCTAAGCATCCATTATGAGCTCAAGGCTCTTGCCTTGAACTCCATCTACTAAACACAAACGAAGAAGACAATTCAGCCGTACGCGTCTACCAGAACAGGTCAATAATGGTCAGGGTTTGGCCGATAGCGTGCCACATACAGAGGTACCGGGGTGATCTTGGGTCAGCAATCTGCACGACGCGGGCGTTCCATTTCGGTTGCATACCCCTGCAGCACAGCCTGAAATTGCTCTCCAGCCATTCTATGTTTTCCACCGCTCAACCACAGCGACCCCATCACGTGTGTCTTGCCCGTAAATTTTGTTGTAATTATCGATCTTGGCTGAGGATAGATGTCTGCAAGCAGTTGGTGACTCGATTCTACCCAACGAAATCCCCAGGATTTATTAGGGCCCTTGACAATGGATTCTGAGGGAGAGGCACCCGCCGCCGGCACGACGGATCCACCGTCGACCGAGCAATTACTCCAAGCTGCTGCCTCAGCCGATGCCGAGGACCTGCGGCGCCTGACGCAATACTACACCACAGACGTCGACATTCGAAACCAGGACGGACTCAGCGCACTGCACTTGGCCATCTTATCACAGCATGACGGGGCTGTAGAAGCTCTCGTCGAGGCAAATGCCGACATCGAAGCGACGACGCCTGCTGGTAAACGGCCCCTATTTCTAGCCATCGAAGAGTCGCGAACCGAGGTGGTGCGGTTCCTCTTAGCCCATCATGCTCTCACCGATGCAGATGCCGGCGGCAGAATGCCCCTACATGAAGCGGCGTCTCGAGGCAACGTCCATGTCGTGCGGCTCCTCCTCGACTATGGAGCGGATATCCAGGCTCTAAGCACAGACGAGAGGGATGCTTTGTTCTTCGCTGTGAGGAGCCAAAATGTGGCCGTGGCCCGACTGCTACTCGACCGCGGCGCGGATCCCGATGCTTACCTTTCGGAGGATCCCCCGACTGCGCTTCACCTGGCCTCGGAGCTGTGCGACGTTGAGATGATGCGGATGCTTCTCGAGCGAAGAGCAAAAGTGGACTTGAGAGACTTCAACGGCGCAACCCCTCTCTTCAGAGTTGTCGCTGCGGGGAATATCGAAGCTGCCAAGCTCCTGCTTCAGCACGGGGCCAGTATTCGCGTGTGGGCATCTGGCGGCTTCTCGGCTCTTGACCTTGCGGATGGGAATCTCGAAATGCTTGAGCTTCTCAACGGAGACAGGGTGCTTCAAGGGCCAAAAGTACGAGGGGCTGGGCCGACAGACGAGCCGGAGGCCACTTTCACAGTTCTCAAGCCTCCTCCAACGCCGGCCGAGCACGAGCGCGATAAGTTGACCGCTTGCCAGGGCTTCAACGCCATCATTACAGATTTCTTCCTGAATGGAGAAGAACACGAGCAGTCGGTGCCCAAGACGGCATCGGTATATGAGCTCCTGTATAGCCATGGTCCAGGCGCTATTCGAAGCCGTCTTGATGGCCGCGATCCAAGCTATACATGGTACCACTTACCATCCAATAATGTAGGTGAGCAAAAGTTGGATACTGGGTTACATATACTGATTCCATTCAATCTCGCAGATGGTATGGGTAGAGGTAAGCGTCCGAAGGCAGATATGCGTGCGCAATTCTCATTAACTTCCAAACAGGGACTGATCAGGCGGCTGACAGCCGAGAAAGGCGGTATATCTGCTGAGATGTACGATGATTCAAAGGTTGAGATGGAACTTTCAAGGCAGCAAAAAGGCAGCAGACCTAGAGCGCGAGCATCTAAGACGTCAGTCTTGAGATCCCAATGCCGTCGGGTACCAGTCAGTGACCCTTCGACAAACAGACCCTGCGTTTATTACCAAGTCTCAAACCAAGCTCACCAAGCAGGGCTTTACCGGAAATACTGACAGTATTGTCGCTTTCGTGAGATTTTCCGTGCATGCCAGACTGGCAACTGTGATCTGATCTCCTTTGCCAGGTCCCATTTCTACATTTCGAAACCTTTGCCGGACATCAAGCTGTGGAGGCTGCACTGGCGAGAGCTCGTGATCGCCCAAATAGCTCCAAGAATCTTCAGCTGGGTCAGTTGGGCGTCCCGATACCTCCAGCAATCAGCGTGCGAACTCGCAAGTCATCAGATGAGGCACCAGCCAGCCGATCCAGGCCGGCAACCCTAAGCAGCATCAATGCGGCTGTTGACTCAGCCTTGGGCAAGATTGGTACTGCCCTGCGCCACAATTCACGGTCGAGCGCCAAATCAACAGTCGCGCATGACTTAGAGAGACAATCACCAGGGCAGGCTGGAGAGCAAGCTGCTTCATCTTCTAGAAATAACAGCATCCAGCAAGACCCAAGCGTAACGACACCCCAGGGAGGAATCATACCACAGAAACTGGATCACCGCAGCTCACTTTCTGATACTGGACGCCGATCTCCGCCATCAACCAGCCAATTCTCCCCAAACGAGGGCCAGCAGTCGGACGCTTCACATAATTTGATGACAGCTGACACTAACGAATCACCCGCTCCCAAGCCTGGTTCAGACAATCATTCTGAAGCACAAAGGTCCGGGTCGCCTAGAAAGGGCCAAGAATCAGAACCCGAACCCAAAGTCGAACGTAAAACTAGAATGAGGACAAAACAACAAGGCCCTCGCATAGACCCTCCACAGAAGAACCTCCACGAACATCTCTTCAGAGGCTACTTCAACTCTGGCACATCTGATCTGCAGCCACGTCGCACGTTGGACCAATATGTATATGCCGACATCGAAGCATCTTCAAATAGGGACAACGATCAGGTCGTCTATCGATACACAAAAGATTCCCGGGCCAAGATTTTCATGGTGGACCAGTTATGGTTGTGGATCCTAGGCGAAGGTATGAAATACGTCGCTACATGATGTCGGGAGGCGCTGACAGCTTTTAAGACACGATAATCACATGCTGCCCCGTCCGGTGGAGCTCTTGGGAGACCAAGCGGCCGAGACAGGCAGAGATGCCTACTGCAGAGACCTCGAAGCCCGGATTCTACATCAAGTGGTTCAGCGGAATGGTTCACAACCCCCACGCCTCGTTGGTGAGCCAGCGCGCCATGGGCTATCGCCCCATGATGATTGGCGGTCACGGCTCAAAAGAGCCCAGGGCGTCACAACCGAGGCGTAATATGGCGGACGGTACCTGGCCTGAGCTTAAGCTTGACGATCCCTTGAATGTCTCCCAAATTGTCAACCGGCACCTTCTGAAGCAGAATCGGAGCGCTGTGGAGTCGGTCTTTGAGCTAGCTGGGCTTATCACAACGTGTTGTGTTGACTTGTTTGATCCGTATCAAGTGAGCGAGGATTATCTCTTCTTGGACTTTTTCGAAAACTCCATCGGTCAAGCGGTAAGCGGAATGAAGCATGCGTTCATTATATATGCTGATTGCTTCGTGTTTTCAGAGCGATAAGTCGCAAACTACCTGAGAACTTCAAGGGGTCGGTCAGCGAGTTTAAGCAGGGCATTGTGACGGCGGATATCATGGATATCACTAGCGAGACGGAACTGATGATCGAGCTCGATGATATCCTCGATGAATTACACACATGAAGCTTGTGTTGACGGATCAGAAGAGCGTGGTTCAGGACATGAACAGACACTTAGAGAATCTGACCGGGATGCCTCGGTGTCTGCTTACGTCAATACGAAAACCCTCGAAAGTCACCTGCAGAGGATCGAACAGATGGAACAGGCGGCATCAAAGGCAGAGAAGACGGTCCGTACCGCGCAATTTCCTATGCCTTGGAGACATGACTATGCTGACCCTTATCGAGCTGCATCGCCTCGTTGACCTTAAACAGAAACAGGCTAGTCTGACCGAGGCTTGGTATGCGCGAGAGTCAGCTAAAGACACAGCTCGCCAGGGAAAGACGGTGGTTGTTTTTACTGTGGTTACTATCATTTTCGTGAGTTCTTTTGTGCATACATACTGACGTAACGAGAGCTGACATAGTACCAGTTGCCCGTGTCGTTCATCGCAGCAATTTTCGCCATCGACAGCAATGGGTTTCGACGCGATAAAGACGATAAAATACCTTTTGGCTACATGCTCACATATATACGTAAGGTCACCCCACACGAGCTGTGAAATTCTGACTGACACAAAGATATTGTAGTATCCATTGGCCTCACGCTTTCTATACCCCTCATCATCATCGCCTTCAACGTAGACAGGATAGCTAGATGGTTCAGGAGCCTTTGTGGGATGTTTGGGCGCTTTTGGCACATCAGTATCGTCATTGCCCTCGCAGCGGCAGTGCTCACAGCCGTGATTGGCCCGGTGTGGACGTCAAAGCTGGCTGGAGGCATCAAGGCCTCAGTCTCGATCGTTCTCATCATGCTTCTGGTCGTGGCAGCCATAGGTATCACGTTGTATAAGCTCATGACATCATTGAGCCGAAAGATATCTGTTACAACTTCGTCTGGTAGTAGTTGGGCAAGCTAGGACACAAGGCTCATCCGGCTAGATTGGAGAGCACGGAAATGGAGAGGATCATGACGAGAAGCCCAATACAAGCAACAATGAGAAAGAACGTGGCTAGCCACCCAAGCGCCATTGCACCAGCTCCAACGTGTCCCGTCGCCACGCCGTACGTGAAGAATTTTACCATGGTTGTTGCAGAGGAGCTCGATAGATGCTGCCAGAAGCCTGACAATAGAGTCAGAACACAGGACACAACCAGACAACCCAGTGCAGCTTTCGAGACTGCCCGGGAAGGAAATGGTTTCACTTCTCTCTCCGACCCGTTGCTTGTGTTGTCCTCGTGCCATCCCGGGAAGGTGGCCATTAGAAGAATCGCGGCAATGGCGGCGACAATCGAGATAAACCTTAGAAGAACTAGTTAACGACATTGTAGCATACGGACTGCGGCTCTCGTGCAGCCTATTTAAAGGACATCTTACAAGAGCGCGACGAAGACAGTCTCCTCACGGAACTTCTGCGCTGCATGGATGAGGTTCAACGGGTCACCTGATTCATCCCCAATCGTTGCGCGACGCACAAATGCCTCAAGAGAGCCCGAGTTCTTCGAGCATATCGACTGGCCGCTGACCAGGAGGCACATACCCATGTAACCTGCCCTGATTTCCATTGAAGTGCGATTGGCGGCCACCTCTGCAATGGATGCGGCAATGTTGCTGGCGGGCGGCTCTGGGTTGCTGACGTAGGATAGAGACAAGAGATAGATCCCGGCGAGACTATCGCTGGTGCAGCCGGCGATAAGGATCGATATCAGGGTAACGGATATGACGAGGAATATCATGAGGACATGGTGGTACCCAATATAGGGGAGAAAACTGTCGCTGCGTGTCAGCCTCTAGGCTCCAATGATGAACAGCGCTCACAAACCGGCGTGGGTCAAGAGGGAATCGAAGAACCCGGGCCGAAGCTGGACTAGACGTCAAAGACATCGTTCATGTGCCTATTGGCGTATGTGGCTGCTTCCTGTGGACAGCACTGCGTCGCTTCTACGACTCTGCTCTGAAGCCCTTTAGGCGTGTTGCCGTCAGGTACGTTTCATTTGACATGTCAAGATTGCTTTCGGCAAACTCATGGCACTGTCAGCCTCACTCGACCAGAGTGGCTGCGAGATTTATGCACGCCTTGCACAACTTGTAGGCACCCTGGTCAATGCCCAATTGGCAGACTCGATCACCTTGGCCCATTAATGAATGGCCAAAGACAGCAACGAACATCATAATCCGTTCTATGTTCACTTACAACACCTAAACCGAGCCCAAAGGCCGTCATGACTCACTAAACGCACAATAATTGTAATGAAAGCTCAGACTTGATGGGCCTACTATTTCAGCCATCGGGTTCGGAGCTATGGGCCTGAGTATTGGTTGTGGCGCTGAAGGGTGAGTTCTACATCTTGTGTGTCACCAAGGAATGCAAACAAAACTGATCTTGTGGCAGTTCCGATGAAGAAAGGTTCAAAGTGTTGGACCGGGCATGGGAGATTGGCTGTGTCAACTGGGATACGGCGATCAGCTACGGCGACAATGAGCGCCTGATCGGTAAATGGTTAAAATTACACCCTGACCGCCGCAAAGACATATTCCTCGCCACAAAGTTTGCTATTGAGTGTTCCGGTAAAGGGATAGAAGGCATGAGAAGGCATGTTCGTGGATTCGTCTCCAGAGAATTGCAAGAAGTCCTTTGAGACCAGCCTGCGCCGGCTCGGAGTGGAGAGCATCGACCTTTACTATATGCACCGCGCGAACCCCGGTGTTGCGATCGAAAAGACGGTCCAGACCATGAAGGAGCTTCACCAGTGAGTTTGACACCCTCGGATGGAAGCATTGAGATGATACCAATGAATGCACAGAGCAGGAACGATCAAGTATCTTGGCCTTTCGGAGGTCTCCTCTGAAACCCTTCGCAGAGCTCACGCTGTTCACCCGATAGCAGCAGTGAAAATTGAGTACAATCCTTGGACGCTTGACATTGAGGGTCCCTCAGGGACGAGCCTGCTCGATACCTGTAAGGAACTCGGCGTGGCTGTTGTTGCTTACTCGCCGTGGGGACGAGGCATCTTGACCGGAAAGTACCGATCCAAAAACGACTTTGAGCCCGGCGATGTTCGCCTCTACCTGGAGAGATACCAAGATGAGAACTTCCGGAAGAACCTGGTCCTCGTGGACAAATTTGAAGAGGTTGCCAAACGCAAGGGTTGTACATCAGGCCAGCTCGTCCTCGCATGGCTCGTGACCTAATGGCACAAGGTGATTGTGATCTCTGGAACGAAGAATGTTAAATATCTGGAAGAGAACTTTGCTGCTGGAAATGTAGAGATCACGCCAGAGGAGGAGCGCGAACTTCGGGAGCTGGTTTCACGTAGTGGCGTCAGCGGCAGCCGGAACCCTTTCTTTGGCCAGTTCGTGGACACGGCTCCACTGTAGCCCTCCATTTCCAGTTATTAGTTCGGATGTCTGGGGTTTTATAGATAATCCCGATGGGGTGTACACGTCGGTGACAAGACACAAAGGCTACGAACGAGGGCTGTTCGATGCGGAGCCTGTCAAGTCGGGCCCAATCCAGTCTGACTTATCGAGAGAAAGGGTTCTACGTCCTCGACTCCCTCGTCTGAAGTCAGTCGTGTTGCGAAACATGGTCTAATGTCTCGTTGTGATCCTGCCTTTCTTGCAGCCAGCAAGCTCATTAAGCTAACGCGGCTCATCCCCCAATCTAATAACGCAAGCGGAACTCCAAAATGAACTTCTGGTCTCGCTCAGTGTTACGAATTTCTGACTCGTGTAAGCCCAGCGTTTCCCATCATCAATAAGCTGTTAGGGCGGTGAACGTCTTACAGCCACATAGCCAGTGATCTGAGGTCTTCAATTTCACTTACTCTTCCAGGACCTTTGAAAGCGGATCGATAATAAGAACAGACAATTCCCGGTATCTAGTCCTCGAGCTAACAGGCTTCCTAGTTCCGGGACGTTATTGGTAGCCGGACTGAAGGGCTTGGCACAGCGGGCTGCACGGTAGATATATTTTAGGAGCTGCCGGCCTATTACCGCGTCAAAGATGTCAAAGTACGCCTCCCTGATGAATTTGCGGACTTTCTTTGCGTACCCATCGGGAGACTTCCCCTGCCATGCATGAAATGACTCCCACGGCACCGGCACATGTGGCGGGGCCCAGGTTGTACATGTAGTGCCGCGGGCCATTACGAAATGGATGCAGGTTGTGTTCAGAGTCGGCAACAGGCCAGGATTTCGAGTCAACAGTAGGAAAAACCGCCATGAACATGCAGCAGTCCGCGGGACCTGTGCTAGCCTTCAACTGCTGTTGAAAGTATCCGTAATAGACTCACATGTCTCATCCACCCTGAGCGACGAATCCAAGTCTAATCTTCCCCGGTAGGTTGCTCACCGCAAGAAACAAACAATCGCCGAAATATTTTGTTAATGAAAACAGATTCATGGAAACAGGTGCAGTCAAAATGAGCGGCAACCCATGATGCCGAGTACTACTTAATCAAGCAAAAGGTATCATCCCTCCCCAAACCAAGAACCCGCTCAAAGTTTCACCCTTCCACCATCCAATTGCTGCCAATCGTGTGCTGTAAAGGGCACGTAGGTATCCCCTTGCAGCCAGTACATTAGGCTCTCATCGCTAGCCCCCGGCTTGACACCCTCACCCCTCAATCCCGTCTTCTGCTGCTTGTTCGTCCCTGTCATCTGCATTCCCATGTCAGGCATGACTCTCAGGAAGAGCGGCAACGCGTACTTCGGCAGCGCCTTCTTAACATGTTCTGCCAAGCTCTTGAGGAGGGCGTCTTCTGGCTTCGCCTCGATTCCTCGGCCCTCATCGAGCACCAGTGCCGCACATCCCGCCCGACCATCATGGTGTGGTAGCTCAACGCCGTAGACATTGGCCTCGCGCACAGCCGGGTGTGAGCCGATGGCTTCACTAACCTCCTGCGTCGAGACGTTCTCACTCTTCCAGCGGAAGGTGTCTCCTATGCGGTCACTGAAGAAGAGGCGACCCTCGCCATCCCATTTGAGAATGTCACCGGTGCGGAACCAGGCGTCGTCCTTTCGGAATACACTGCGTAACACCTTCTTCTGCGTTGCCTCTGGGTTACCATAATAGCCTTGGAAGCGACGTGACATGTCCGTCGGGGAAACACGGCAGAGCAGCTCGCCCGGTTCATTCGTGCCAGCGGAACGACAGAAGCCTGTCTTCGGGTCTCGCCATGGGGCGCCTTGTTCGTGATCTACTTCGACAATGGCAAGGTTCATCCCCATGACGGCATTGTAAATCCAGCCGTTCCGGCCGATGGCACCTTTGGCAAAATCGTTTCGGCTGAGATTCCATGTGCCAAAGGTGCCCTCTGTGGCAGCATAGAATTCGCCAATCGTGTCGACACCAAAGCGATCACGGAAGCGACTCCATACGTCGGGCCGCAGGCCGTTTCCAAATGCTGCTCGGACCTTGTGTTTCTTGTCGAGGTTCTCGCCTGTCGTGGGGTCGAGTTGTGGTGGAGCGGCGAGGAGATAGCGGCACGTCTCGCCGACATACTGAATGATGGTGGCGCCCGATGTGCGTACATCTGACCAGAAAGTCTTGGTCGAAAACTTACGCCCAATGGCAATCGTGCCACCGACCTCTAGAGTGTTGCCAAAGCCGAGGATGGCAGCCGAGCTGTGGTACAGCGGCATGGACTGCACACATGTTAGCTTTCCGCGGTTTGGGAGGAGACATGTCGTGCTTACCGTGTAGAAGACATCATTAGTGCTGTTGCTGATGAACCGGGATGTGAAAACGCCGCCCACGATACACTTGGCCCAGGAAACAATGGCAGGCTTGGGCATTCCGGTGGTGCCGGAAGTGAAAATGAGAATGGCGATATTTTGGTACTTGTCCTCGGATCGATCGGCGTCAGGATACCTCTTAGGTCCGGTCGCAGCAATCTCTGCGAGTGTGGTTGGGTCGAACTCCACGAATGTGACAGCTTTCGAGTTCGCTGCGTACTTCTTGATTTACATTTTCTTGATTTTACATTTGCCTGGCAACCAAAGGGGTCGACCAGCACCAAAGACGTCGTGGCAGTCTTGATGCAATGAGCCCAGTGCACTCCCGGTAAGGTTGTAGTTCCATGAAGGCAAGCTTCGCTCCGATTGACCAGAGACCGAACCAGATGAAGATGAAGACATCGGAGTTTTGGAAGTCTACAGCGACGATGTCTTTAGGCTTGACACCATGGCGCTCCCGCAGCCAGGCACCATAGCGAAGAACGTTTTCATATACTTGAGCATATGTCCATGACTTGCCCTCGAAAATAATAAAGGTACGGTCCGCGGAGGACTTGTTCTGGGCATGGCGTTCGAGGACGTAGAAGGGACTCAGACGGTCAGTCCGCTCACGCCACAAGGCAGACAAGGTCGCTGGAAGGGCGCATTGTACGAGGTGAACATCGTACCACAGAGACATGCGCGCATTCAGGTACGCAGCGCCTGCAGCGGCGGCTGGCAGGGCGACAGCGAGAGGGACTGTAATCAATCAGTAAACTGGGGGCTGAATAGGGGGGCCATCAAGCAGGTTGGCATCATGCAGGCTTCAGCCATTGGGTAGGGCGCGAGATTAGGTGCTGACGTTTCGGGGGGTTGGACGCACCAGGCATAGTGTATTGCGCGCGTTGATCCCAGAGTCTGAGAGACGACGTCAAGTACCCTCGATGGGGGCCGGCCACAAGTGAGTAAAAGGGCTGGATCCCGTCGACAAGGTCTGGCGGCGACACGGACTACCAGAAGCGCGGGACGTTGGCGGCCAGGCACAGGACGAGGAGGCCTAGGCTTTGTCAGAAAAGAGTACGCGCTGAATCAAGTGACGTGAACCGGTGAACAGCAATTGGACGAGGTGGCGAAGTTATAGGCTACGGGAAGTCGATTGAAGAGAAGAAAGCCGGCAGGTCCGAATGTTAGGAGCGAGCATGGGAGTCTAGTGTCAAGGGACGGGTTCCATTCCGTTTACTGGGGCCATGAATGCATTTGACGTTGAGTCGATGGTGACGACAGCCGAGGAGCAGCTTCGCAGGGTGGATATCAGTGGACATGTGCCCACAATCGAACACCATGGCGAAGCACAACTAGCACAGCTGGTGGTACTTGATGCACACTACTGGCACCAAACGTTCGCCAGCAATCCTATATTGGGCGCCGCTTGCATGGCGACGGGACATGAGCTGCAGGACACTAGCAGCGGTACCCCAGCTTTTTCCAGCCGTCGCAGCCCATCCAGGAGACCTTGCAGGTCTTGGAACACCGTTTTGGGATGGAAGCCTCGGCACCGCCAGCGGGGTTCGACGAGTCTAAGCGAATTCAAGAGAGCCATGTTGGTGATTTGCTGCGACGTGTTGCTCTATCGAGTAAGTGGCTCGCAACGGGGAGGGTATATGTCACGTCGCGCGGAGAGTTCTCTGAAGAAGCCTAAAGCGGGCGATCAAAGGTGGCCAGATGGACAGGAGTCAACAGCGCACCCATCTGAATCGTTGTATGCTTCGTCTCCGCCCTTGTTGATTCGGTTTCGGGCGCGGTCCAAGTGGTCCTGGTCCCCCAGAAGATCCAACGGCGCGCTTTGATCAGCCGAGTGTCCGCTGGGACATGGAGCAAAAGATTCCGCGTTTGAAGCGCTCGGCGACCGGGCTAAGCTCCAGCCCGAGATAGGGGGAAGAAGTCGGCGACGGGCACAGCATTCGAGGCGATCTGCAGTTGTTGGTAACCTGGACGCCAGGATTGCTTGGCTTTGGGGTCACGAGAGGGGTAGCACCGAGGTATCTCAAGGGAACGAAACGCTGCAGCGCAGGACATGTGATGATGGTGGTGCCCCAAGACGACCTGAAGGTGCATAGGAGGTAAGCCAGTCGAAGCCGCAGCGTTATGTTGTCCAGGATCATCCGATTTGGCGTGTAGATTGTCTGTCGCTCTGAGGCCATCGTCCTTCGTACCACACTAATCGGAGGCCGTAAACCTGGTGCTGGAGGGATGTCATTTCTTGGGACCACCTGGCGTACCGTGCTCGATCGTTACGGGAGGAGGTGCTGTTACGAGAACGCCATATTCACAAAAGACTGTGGACAGAGGTCTTGTTGTCGTTCATTCTGGGTTGCAGTGCATTTTATCTTCGAGAAAGATGGGAGGGTCTCTTGTGTCCCTTATTACCTTACCTATCATCTAAGTAGCTACTTGCCCGTTCAGGTACGTGGACCTTGGTCAAGTCAGCGGAGGAAGGCGAAAGCGGGGCCGCTACTGCCTCGCCGTCCCTGTCAAGCCTGTGAAGCGCTTATCGTCTCTGTCACTGCATTATCGCCATGTGATCTCGTGTCGCATTGGCTCCAGTCGTCAAATGGCCAGAAGTCGCATCGAGTGTCCCGCCTCTGTACGCTCCCTCTACCAGCCAACCCACGGCGCGAGTCACCATGGCCGCGACACCACCCAGCCAAGACGACCTCATCCAGAACCCTTCGCTTTCTCTCCATGAGAGACCTGTCGAGGTGGCACCGCCCTGCTGCTGGGCCCATGAGCGAAGACACCTCTACAGAGAACCCCAAAGAACCGCCCCCTGAGAAGGCTTCGGACGTGCGACGCCGCTCTTTCGTCATTCTCTCTTTCTGGGCCATCGCTCTATGTTTTGGTGTGCCAATATGGTGGATAACGACGTCTATTTACCGGGCTAACTTGCCCTTGTCTGATATGCTGGATTGGGCTGACGGCAAGGTGAGTCGTCTGTCCTCCGCCACGGCTCTTCTGAATCCATGTGGTTCCATGTCGACTGACAACCTCCAACGCAGGCTTGTCGCCCTGTCTTCCCGCTGAGCATCGCCATTGAGGCGTCGTCTCTGCAAGACCAAGAGGCCCAGAACCTCCTTCGACAGACGCAACATGCGCTCGACGACCTCAACGACTTCTCCGGCCACCACCTACGACTACAGCTAGCCCCACGCTCCAATGATGCAGCCGACAGACAAGGCCGCCAAGAGCTCGCGCTGACGGTCCGCCTGACGCCTGGTCAGTCCACTGCGGCGGCACTCGACCCAAACTCGGCCGTTCTCGACGTCACGTACCCGCCGAGCGCCGTTCCATCGGCCTCGTCTTCGACATCCCCGCTTGCCTCCTACATTGCCAACGAGCTACGTTCGACGTACGCCGAGGAGCAGTCCATCATCTCCTACCTGCTCTCGACCTCTCCCGGTGCCTCGGAGCCGAGGTCCAAGGCACTCTCACCCGACGTGGCCGAGTCCTTGTCGAAGCGGACCACTCGATCGATGCGCTATGCGCCTACGTTCCACCTGACATTTTCTTTGTTCACAAATGGCGCCGTGCCGAACGCGTGGGACATTGAGAAGGCCATTCAGGACTACATGCAGCCCATGCTCGACGTGCTGAGCCCGATTCACAACTTCACAATGGACACGCAGGTGCAGCTGTATGCTACGCCGGGTGCACAAGCCGACGTGCTGGGCAAGGACGATCTCGCCAGCTTCATCAACGCCGCCGAGTGGCCGCTCTCGCCTTCCATCGGCGGAGCACCAACGATCAACTTTGTGCTCTTCGTCGGAAACCAGACGGTCGGGACCGAGCCGGGCTCGGGGAATTCACAGTCGTGGCTGATCCCGCAATGGGGCACGGTCTATCTGCAGTCACTGCCGCCAGCCGTGGCGCGCGTCTCGAGCGCGGACCTCAAGCAGCCGATGCTGACCTTTGCGGGCCACCTGCTCTCCCTGCTGGGCACGCCGCAGACGGGCTCGCTGCCGCTCCGGCTGTCGACGCTGACGCGCATCCGGTCGGCGGACCTTCTGCTGCGGGCCTCGTCCACACTGGGCTCGCTGGCGCGTGTCTCGCAGGCCCTGCCGTCCATATCGATCCCCGGCAGCGTTGCTGACGGCGTGGCCAAGACGATGCGCCACCTCGAGCTGGCGTGTGCGAGCCTCGGCGGCCTCGAAGGGCTGGAGCATGCGCGCATCGCCGAGGCCGAGGCGGAGCGGGCGTTCTTCGAGAAGAGCATGGTCGGGCAGCTGTACTTTCCCGACGAACACAAGATTGCGGTATACCTACCTCTTCTGGGGCCAGTAGGTGTTCCGTTGATCATGGGCCTGCTGAACGAGCTGAAGGCGTGGAAGAAGAGGAGACGCGAGAGGGCCGAGGCCGAGGCCAAGAAGAAGGCCCAGTAAACAAGCAAGACGAGAAAAAAAAAAGAAAGAGACAAAAAAGAGAAGCGAGAATAGAAACGAGTATCCCGAAGAATACGACATGATCCAACTCATCCAATCGTTGTCGTCGCCTTGATTCGCATTGCAGCATGTCAGTACCGAGTAGCAACCACAGGACCGGACCCTGGCGCTTGGTGGCAGGCCAGGGTAGGGGCTCTCGACAGTGGCGACAGTGGGGTCTTCAACCAGGAACAGGGAGCAGACTGACGTACCCAGCCAGGTACCTGAGCTCAGTACCGGACCGACCCAGCACCTGACCTCAGCACCTGGGCACCCAATTGCCTACCTAGCTACCTAGACAGCGGCGGGACAAGTGACGTCTGTGGATGTTCTTAGGCGCGGCATCGAGGCCAGTGCCAGAGCGCCAGCCCACAGCTGCCGTCGATCCCGTGGATCCCTTCTCTCCTGCCTCGGGTCGGGCGGAGAGCTGTCTTCGTTTGCGTCGTCTGCGGGCGGCACCGTCGGGCTCCAGTGCAAGGGGCCAACCTAGGTAGACAGCTAGAGCACCCGGATGCCGGGGAGCTTCAGGGCAGTGCACACCCCCTGTGTTTGCTTTTCTCTGCAGCCCCCCTCCAAAAAGTGCAGCACAGCGTCACCTGCGCCGCCAGAGCCAAACCTCGTCATCCCACCTTTCAACCCACCTGGCTTATCGTTATCATCCCTCACCCGCCCGCACCCGCGCTTGCACTGCTTTCCTCCCTATAGTGAGCCATTGGATCACAGCCGGACCTCGACCTCCTGCACCTCGCCGCTTCGCCCCCCGAGTTTCTACCTCCCTGGCCCTCGACTTGGAAGATCAGGTCACAACAGGCATCTGCTCTCCCCGTGCTTCCCGCCTCTGCTTCTGTCGACACGCCCAACCCCGCCACGCATTGCTGCCCACACGTCCCATCCCCACCAACACTGAGAGCACCAGTATGAAGAAGATCGCACAATGCTCCCAGAGCCCACGTTGAACTTCACGCTCCCCAGCATCCACGACGACACGGTCCTCGACTGCCGCGTCTACCACAGCCATGCGCTGAGCCCCGTTCCCAACGCCCCGCCCTGGCGACGACATGCCGCCATCGTTGCGCACCCGTACGCGCCCATGGGCGGATCATACGACGATCCTATCGTTGACTCTGTCGCGGAAGCACTCCTTCGCGCCGGCTATCTCGTGGGCACGTTCAATTTCCGGTGAGCTCCCAACCCCTCCGAGAGTCTCCTTCCGTTACCGTCCCACCCTTGGCCCATGCTCATGTTCGGTGCTGCGCAGAGGTGCCGGCCACTCGGCAGGCCGGACATCGTGGACGGCCAAGGCCGAGCGAAACGACTACATGTCCTTCATCGGCTTCATGGTGCACTACATCCACTTCCTCGACCCCTACCGACCCGCACCCGACGCATCCTCCCCCCCGACAAGCTCGCCAGCGCCCGACCTCAGCTCGCGGGACGAACGCGACCAGCCCATCCTGCTGGCGGCCGGCTACTCGTACGGCGCCATGGTGACCTCGCAGCTGCCGCCGCTGTCGCAGATCCTGTCACGCTTTGCCGCGCCCCCGGCCATCTCGGCCGCCGCCGACATTCGGCTGCGCGCCGAGCACCTGGCGGCGCAGCAGAACAGCTTCCTCGCCGAGGCGCGGGCGTCGCGCAACGGCCATGACGCCGACGCGGCGCGGCGCTGCGCGGTCGGCGGCGACGAGGGCGACCAGCGACGCAGCGGCGAGGCACCACCGGCGGTCG